CCGAATTTTACCCTGGGACTGTATATGTTGTGGTTGCGCGCATTGTTGGATCCAGTTTATTTGTTGGTTCAAGATAAGATAGAAAGTAATCGCATCGCTGCCTTGCCGCAGGGTTCATACCCTGCGGCAAGGCAGCGATGTGTGTCATTACATTCTTGACAATAATCGCTGATGACGGTTGCGCCGGATCGATACCTGGCTATTAGGCGAAGAAAGATCCGGGTATTGCGTCGAACGAGCTTGAGGAATCATCTCCTCTCTCCTGTTTCGTGTTCTACAAAGAATCACAACATTGTGTTTCCTACTAGTCACACATCTTAACAATTTTTTGTCTAAATACTCTCGGAACAGGGCGCTCTCGTCGGAAGCGCTCACAGCAGACATTACGAGAATATGCTCCCAGTGGACAATGCCATCATGTCTCATACCTAACTACCACTCCTTGTCTTAGTCACTTGATGTCTTATCGTTAGTCCTGCTCCAATTTTGTGCAGCCAGAAGTAGGTAAGAGCAAAGATTTTGCCCAATGGGTGCTTGCACATAAGGCTCCCGCCAGAGTGCCGAAGCCATGCCAGCGCTACGCCAGCGCCGAGCTAGCGTTTCGATCGATACACGTGTATTTCGTTGGGGCGGGGCTAGCTGACCTAGTTCTCAGCTAAGGCCCCGCCCCAACGAAATGCACGTGTATCGATCGAAACGCTGGCTCGGCGCTGGCGTAGCGCTGGTATTATGGCTTCGGCACTCTGGCGGGAGCCTAAGAAAGGACGAGCCATGCATGACCTCACGCTTGATTTTGGATTCTTAAAGGCACCGTCCACACAAAATGGAGGTTGGCGAGATTATGATGGCATATTAGTGTGGGCCCTCATACTAGACAAACCTCCAAGCTTCGCCGCAAAAAACTGCTTCTGAAGCGAGAAATCCGCTCCGGAAGTAACAAAGTGAGCGGCGCGCCCTCGGCGGTCCACCCAACTCGAATTCAATGTCTTTGTCGCCTTCAGGCCTTCTGAAAGCCCTGATTCCGAATATGGAGTCGAAAATTCGCGAAACCCCCAAAAATCCCTGTTTCGAGAACCCTCTGCAACAAGTGCAGGCGAGATAAAGCATGCAAGTGGGCGGGGCGACCGGGGGCGGAGCGGATTTCTCGCTTCAGAAGCAGTCTTTTGCGGCGAAGCTTGGGGGTTTGTCTAGTATGAGGGCCCACACTAGTATGCCATCATAATCTCGCCAACCTCCAATTTGGGTGGACGGTGCCTTTAAGCTCGCAGCGGAAACTCCAACTTGAGCATCATTGGACGTCCACATATAAACCATTCAAGCAAGGTTAGATTGACTAGTGACCCAGTCACTAGGAACTATTCTCAAATGGGTCCTTCACTCAAACCGTGTCATATACGTCGTTAGGCGCGAAATCACTCAATTTCCTCTCGAACCGATGGAGGACGATTGCAAGCTTTCATGTCTATCAGATAAAACACCTATCGCTATAACCGCTGAGTGAAGCACCAGACCGATGCTCTGTAAAGTTCGTAGGTTGGAGTAGGGATCAGTCTTGCAAAAATACATAGTGCTAATTTCATCGAGCACATTTCAAAGTTAGTATCAACATTATTCTCTTTCATAAGCGATAACGTGATGCTCGTAATCAAAAAGGCAAACCAGTCATGCAAATCTCCAGCAATGTTGGAGACTTTGACCTCATGCAGTAGAAGCAAGCATTGTGACTCCACGAATTATAGATGAATGAAAATCGGGCGTGGTATAAGATAGCATCGCTTGCATTCAAAATTGAAAGTCATAAGAAACTGCAAAGAATGTGATACGAAGATGGGTATGATGCAATTAAGTGTATATAGTCCGTGACAATGAAGCATTCAGTATTTTGCCGTTTTGAACTGGCAACTGTCACATACGTTCGGTGTAAAAACCGTACATTTCAATTTCAATCGAGCTGCTCCCCGCTTCACTGTGATTCGGAAAGCCATCCTTATGCCGCACGATTGGTATAAGGTCTTTTCGTCGCAAATCCTTTAGCGTCCTTGAGCTGGCCGATTTTAGAAGAAAATCCTTCGCAACTTATATATCTGAAAATAGGGTTCTTTTAGAAATTCTACTTGTAGATTAAACTAGCTGACATACTCGGCTCCGCCCGGCCCTGTCAAAACACTTTAATAAATGTCCCAATCTTCCCTGTACAAAATTTTCCTGTGTCCACTGCAACATGCCAATCCGCTATTCCGGTTTTTTCCGATTCTGTGAGGTTCACGAAAACTTCGCACATTCTGTGAGCGGTATTGTACCTTGAGAGTGATAGAACAAATTCGATCAGAGTGAATCATTACCATACTCCTACAGTATAACTACTATGTGTCATCAGCGAGGCAATACTGTCATCAGCATATGAACAATGCAATTGAACAAAAATCTGCGAAATTGAGCGAAAACTTATTGTCTACCGTATACCTGCCGTACCCCTGCACAATGTGTGGCACTATATAAGATGATGATGCGTCTCGCAAAGCTGCGAAAGGTTCCTCGGATGCAGAATTCGTCCATTCTGAAGCGAGATATGGCGATGCGACGCGGACTCCGACAGACTTTAGTGATGTGCGGCGCACTCCGCTGCTCTCCGGCGCATTGCAGCGCACTTTGGCGACTTTTCAAATAATTTTGGGCGATATTGTATCTCATTACAAATGACCATTTGAGCTAGCGCCTCCTTTGTTAGTAAAAAGAACTGACACAAACAACATGATTACAAAAGAAAATCAGCGTTGTTTTCGAATCCAAAAGTTCGTCTCAGTTTGCTTGAGAAGAGAAGAGGAACAAGTAAGCACGAAGTTAAATTACGGAAGATTGAAGAATGGAAGAAAATGTGAACATAGCTGAATCTGCTTTGAAGAGTTTTCTGTTATCGTTCTGTTATCGAACTATGCGAAGAGATCAATTTATCGTCAAAATAGATTGTCAATAGGTCAAACAGTGACACTCGAAATCAAAGTTAGCGCATGTTTTCCTTCCTTTGATGAACTGTTGGAGAAACAATCGAGAATACGAGAAACAGAGAGCATTTTTAGACTAACAAACTAGGAGGAAAACTTTGAAGCTTCTCTCCCATCAGTTAGCAAACATGTTGCATTCAAAACGAAAAAATTCTATTTAATCTTTGACTGGAAAATAGCATTCCGATATAATTTGTTGTTCAGCCTGCAGCAATATGGGCGATTTCGTGCAGTCAATTTTATTCAGTTTCTCTTCATGACCTCTGATTCAACCGAATTGTCGGCTGGTGGGTGGGGCTCACGTCCGCGAGTTCGCCTCGCCTGGCTCTGCACTTCTTTCACTATCGTGCTTCCGAGTGATGTGAAGCTCCGCTTTTCCCATGCTCGTGATGGGAGATGATCAGAGAGCACGCTCAAAAAAAGGTGCAGAGTCCAAGCAGCCCCCGCCCTCTAGCAGCCCAACCCTGTTGAAACAGAAAGTAACTAATTGGTTGAAGTGAACATTTGATGAGTTCGAATTACAAGAGGACGTATTCTAGGTGCAAACCACTTGAACACCAAGAGGAAATTATGATTTATTATTAGGTTGTTGCAAAAATAATGTCCGTTTTTCAAGGCCTATATTTCAAACAACTTTTTTCCATCAAACTTTCTTTATCGAAATAGAATTTGCATATCATTAGAAAGCTCTCTTCACCTACTTTCAACAGCGGTGGAATTAGGCTGCTACCCTCATCTGTGAGAATTCTACTAGCATTTTGCGCATCCGCACTCAAAATCAGAATCTCATAGCTTCCACTTTCTTGACCACAATTCAAAAGCAAATAAAAGAATTCTTCTGAAAACATAGCAATTGTACTGGATGAAGATTGTTTACCCAATGCATGCTTATGTAGATTTTTGGAGATATCTGGACTAAGAAATTGACGCCTCGAAATAGATACTCGCTGCTGGTGATCTATGGGCTAAAAATTTCCCATAATCAAGGCAATCACCAAAGCTTCGCCCATTTCTGTAAGCTTAAGATTTGCACACCTTAATTAATATATTTGAAGAGAAACTTAGCTATTCAGTGCGCGAAGAATAACAAATTTTTACAATTTGACACTTAGAAGACTACAACAAGTAAGCTCAAAATTTTTTATCTTTTCTTTTTGCAGAACTTTTTCGTTGGAGTCTTGTCTATACACACGTAAACTCATGACCTGCTGCTACAAAATAAGCTGATTGCCAGTTATAGAACAAAACTTGAAGAGAGTTGTAAGCTCTTGAAAACGAGTTTTCAAAAGAAAAACTTTCGGCTTTTTGGCGCGTGTTCTTCTACCCGTCTGCAACATCAGTATGAGCAGATGCGCGCTAAATTACGAAAGGTTTGTTGTTTCTGATAGTCTTGACCGCATTCAAAATTATGAAGACTGAACGAAGTTATGGCCCTCCAAAGTGAAAATTTGCAAAACGGACATTATTTTTGCAACAACCTAATAGTTCATTAAAGACTATCGAATAAATCTGTTGTACAGAAGGGATACTGCAGTTCTACAATACAATCTGTTACTAGTTGGAATTTTATTTATTGCTTCGAAAAATCCTGGTCTAAGACCCTCGCTACGGTCTCAAAGGCTTGGTTTGCAGAAATTTTTAATGATGATAATCACATTAGTGTTTTCAGAATACGACAGATTCAACATTACTTCTGATGAAAAATGCGGCGCTAGTCATAATTTGCGCTTATGCTAATAATTTTGGCAGTACGCAGACCCTAATGCAACCTAATATTTAGGGAAAATAGATTACCCTATGAGGCAAGATTTATTATACCAAACCAGAATAGACAATAGTGGAATCACTTTCGCCCCTGCAAATAAGCTCTTGCTTAGCTTGAATATACATAAGAAGTTACAACAATAATTTGATTGCTTTCCCACTATCGACAAGATGCTAAAGGCCACTCCGACAAATTTCAGAAATACACTCGCTCGAGAAATACTATACATACCCATAGGATGTCACTGAGAAGATAAGCTCATCTAAAACAGAATAATGACAGTGCAATTAATTTCTGTTATAGTCCATACTTCGACTCTAGAATCCCTCTACACAATTACTGGATAGTAGATTCAAATACTATGTTGTTCTGAAGGTACCCGATGAGAAACCGTGGCAGAGAAAAAGGTTGGTAAAAGTGTCAATCCTGCAGACTGATACAGATCACTCAGACTGCAGATATGATCTCCTAGGAATCCTGACAAGTTTCCAAACTGACTGTGCAGGCAAAATCGGAACGGGGGATCTTGAAGTCCCCTGCAAAAGACTAAATTCCGAACTATTGGTTCAAAATAAAGTTTTACCCTTCCACTGATTCATCTATCATATCCAGGTTCGCAGGAGCAACACCATGAAACATCTCTTTACTTCGCAAATACTTCTCCGTTTTCACAAGAATATCGGTGATTTTCCGTTTTCCTGCTATCCAGTCCTAAAAAATGGATATGGAGGCTGCAAACCTTACTGAAAATAGCTCTATCGCAATGATTTAACTGTTTTGCCGTTTGAAAACCATTTTCAAATCACAATGACTCTTCACTGGAATCGAAACCAGCGCTTTCGATCACCCGAAGGCAAAATCTTGAATATTGTTCATTTTGAGGCTATGGCGGCCGCTTTACTCCTCGAGGAATATAGCCCCTTCATTTGATATGCATGAGGTATGTGTAGAATTTGCGATTTTTATACCGACGATCGCCCGTCGCTAGTAATGGCGACGACATTTTACATAGCTTTAAAAAAAAAGAAAAGAAAAGAAGGTACCTCTCAGTCTTCAAGAAAAAACTACATTTCGGACCATACCCAATCCTACCGATACGTTCAATTTTCCATATAACTGGTAACGAGATAGAGACAAACAAGTCAAGACAAGTTCTTAATTTCACAATAAACAATCTTTTTCTAGTGAACGTTCGTCCACTAGAAAAAGATTACCACAATAAATGAGTTTTGGAATTATTCTTCAAAAGTTATTCTTCAAAAACACTTGGTCAATAAAAGACGAAGGACAATGTCATCTCCGTTTAGAAAACATAGAGTAGAGGCACATAATGGTGACATTTCAATGTAAAGTGCACGATATTAGCGTGTGAAACCGAAATCCGAAAAACCGAAAACATTGGAGGTTGCGTGGATATCTACCGGAAATCCGGCGATGAATAACAAGAATGAGTGCTTGGCGATGACAAATGGCCTCTTGCTTTATATATCATTATGTCAACTCTAAACGCGGACTATAAATGTCCTTGACTCACTGAGCAGCCCTCAGTGATGTCCGTCGCGGTGGCGCGGACTACTGACTTCACGGCGGATTGAAGGTTGGTATCTACCACTTCGGATTGTTTCCCAGTACATTGTACTGAGACAAGGTCTAAACGCCGCGAGTTAGAATAGGCGTTTGGTCGTGTAGACTGACAAGTACAAAACTGCATTCCCTTTTCAGGCCTCCGAAGGAGACGATACCTGTCGAGACGTTAGGCATGAATATCCACCATAAAAACCTGTTTAGCACAATATCATTTACAAAGTCAACGTAAGGCCCAGGTTTAAAGAAGGAGAGCACATGAAACTATTCTTCAAAATTCTTTCCATAAACTATTGTGAATCCTCTCTCCTTACTGAGGATACGAGAGAAATTGAAACTCTAGAGAAGGGACAATAGGGAACTTACACAAAACTTTGTTTTCTTTTCATCAAACTTTGCTTTGAATTTTAATTGCATAAATCGAAAAGTCCCCTCACGGTATGCTCCTCAACGTGGCGAGAGGGGCTACTGGGGGTGTAGCAAGAGGGTCTGAATTTACGAGTCAGTCCAGCTAAAGCAATCACTCCAGGTCATCATGTCAGATTCCGTTGTCACCTACCTGACAACAGGTGCTGAGTCGCCAGGAGGAAAAACCGTCAGTGTCATACAGGGAGCGGCGACTGCTCCGATACACTCCTAGAACGCTCCAGCCAGGCTATCTAGGGTGGCGGGAAATTCATTGGCTTGTACAACCTTAAACCGGTCGCCCAGGTACTCTGCGAACCGTGTTCGTCTGCCGCTTAGGACGTCGAATCGCAGTACGACCGGTGAGGGGCAAAGCAATCTCAGGTGCAAAAGCGAGACGTCCATTGATCCCATCGGTAACAAAACGGATTCGACAAGACACGGGGGCTGTTTTCAATTGTGCACATACAACGCAAGGACTTGGCTTCAGCCCACGAGCTCTTCGTTTTCCAAGATGCCGCAAGCCACATTAAATAGGATGTGACTGCTTTGCAAAAAAAAACAGAAGCTCGACCGCTCAAAAGCTAAAAGAGAAAGTTCCAACACGAGACATCGGAGGCGTGGGATTTGTCGTACACCAATCCGTTAGCCACCTCGTTGACTCTTATGAAATTCTGTCGCCGCGACTAGCAGTCCTAAATTTGCTGCTCCGGGTCGGAAGAAGATCAGCATCATCAGCTGTTATTCGGCTACAGATGCACCAGATGAATCCGAACACACAAGTTCTTTGAGGAGCTGGAACACGCCATTTGCTAGGAGAACTCGTTCTACAAGTTCATCGTTGGTAACTTCAATGCAAGGATAGGACAGTCACAACACCAACAATGCGACAGAATTGGAAAATTTGGACTGGGAAGTCGGAACGAGAATGGAGACAGACTCGTCGGACTCATCGAAGCGGCTCGTCTTTTCCATGTAAATTCCTTTTACCAGAAGAAGGAACATCGCCGCTGGACGTGGGAATCATCAAATGGAACAGCACATGCAGAAATCGATCATATTCTTGTCAACAAAAAATGGAGGTTGATCGATGTCGGCCTGATTCCGTCGTTCTGTACAGGTTCGGACCACCGTCTACTTCGTGCATAGATCCGCTTCAATCGGAAAATGGAAAGAATATCTTGCCATCAGCGAAGTCTAGAAGAGAAGCCGATTACGACGAACGCATTCTCGAGAACGCCATTTCATATGACTGGAATGAATGCGAAGATCCCACAGAACATCTAAAAAAAAGTTGACTGAAGGGCTATGCAGCTGTGCGAGCAGAAAATTCTTACTGTGGGAAGAGGCTCGGGGACTAAAGTGTAGACCCAATGTAAGGACTATAGCGGACTGCAACAAAGAGTGTATCAGAACCATACAGCTGTTTGACCCCCCCCCGCATCCGTATCGAGAAAGGAGTCTGACAAGGCGACACGTTGTCGCCAAAGTTGTTTACCGCAGTACTGCAATAATGCATGCAGTCGCTCGATTGGGGAATGATGAATTTGTGTAGATGGAAGGTATTTTTCGAATCTCCGTTTCACAGACGATATCCTTTTGCTCTCGAAGTCTATCGCGAAACCGAAGAGATGCTGAACGAATTGAACGAAAGCGGGAGAAGGATTGGACTTAGAATAAATCGAAACAAGACGCACTTCATGAGAGAGAAAAGTGGTGCAGTGAAAGTCAATTATTTTTGGACGGAGCACCGATAGAAGAGACTTATCATACCATTACATCAGACGTGCCATCAATATGAACAACGACCTGAAGAAAGAACTCAGCCGAAGACAGCGGCTGGGCAGCATTCGGTCCTCTGAAAGAGGCTCTACAGACAGCCTTGCTGATCCGGAATTACGCGCTCATCTTTTCAATGCGACAGTTCTCCCGGCCTTATGTTATGGAGCGAAACCTGGGCTGATACCTCAGCAACCGTGGAGGCACTACGAACGGCAGACACAAGGCACTCGACAGGAAACTTCTGAAGATGACCAAGTTCAGACAGTATCGCCCTGGAATCTGGAAGCTTCGACATCAGGGCAACTAGCGCGTTTAGGAAATCCAGCAGAGTACGTATCGAAGAATAAGCACAGATGGGTCGATCGTATGTTGAGAAGAGAAGACGACAGATGGACAAAAAGAATGCTAGAATGGATTTCAAAATCTTCGAAACGTGCACGCGGAAGACCACTGAAGAGATGGTGTGACGAATTTGTTGCCCGTGTAAATCAAATGCCAGCAGTTGGAGTTCAATTCAGCATCGTCTAGCAGCAATCGCAACCGCGTACGACCATGGATGACGATTGCACGAAACCGTAACGAATGGTCAAAAGTTGGAGCCCGCACGACATGTAAGGATGGGCCATCTAAGTTATCTAAGCAAGTAAATCGAAAATAGATTAGCCGTAATGCGTTAAAATTCTAATCCTTTAAATTTTACTTGTTAGAGGTATAAGGTATAGTCCACATAAATTCAAACAAAAATATATGCTAGTAACATAAAACATGGACCTTACCAAGATCAAGCGATTGATACCCGCACTGGTTATGTATGCAGAGCTTATTCGCAAGATATTTGCTTGCAACCTGACCAGCTGGTCATCGGTAAGCCCACTTTTCACACTGATACGAAGATCGCTAGCCAACTTCACCTGAAAAAGGCTACAAGATGTGCGATAAATTTGAATAGCCAACTTCTCGACGAACCACATCGAGATCGAAGAATTTACTATCCAGAAATATATCGGGCTCGACAACACCATTTGGGCATATAACAATTGTGCACCTGGGAGGCAGCAAGCGAACCAAGTCGAATACGAGAGCTCTATTTTCTGTGCGGAGTTCCAGATAATTTGTCAGCACCTGCGACGTCATTGTCTGCTTCTGCAGAAGTTCGTGCGTAGATGGAGTGATCGAAGTCTGCAAATAAATGCAATCAAATCTCACCGGAATGTAGTGGGATGAAAAAATGTTTCAAATTAAATTTTAGACAAATGGACTGCAGTTTCCTATTCTTGATCGCCGAAAAATTTACCTTTAAAATCCACAATGTTCAATATACCGGCCGCAGAAAGAGACAGGCGCCTACTTGATCAGTAAATGGCTCAAAAATTCCAAGTTAGAAACGGCTGAGAGAGTGAAGCTTACTAGATGACGGACACTTCTCTTTTGGTGTCGCGTAAGCGGAACTGGCCATACTTTATCCACGTGACGCAGAAGGTCGGCGCTATTCCATCTTATACAACATAGAAATTGAAATCATGGATTTCGCTAGTAATTCGCCTAGAAAGGGGGATCTGCTGATCACGAAAGTGATATTCATTTTGTATGGTGGGGCCTTTTGAGACGGTAGGCATACAGTAGCGATCAAAGTCTCAGGATTCGCGCGAGCTTTGCACAAAAGGGTTGTCGATGCTGATCACGAATATAATATCCCCGAAAGCGCCTTATGGTAGAGTTACGGTAGGGTTGTGCTATGGAGTTAGGATTTCAGGACTCGCTGGAACTTTGCATAGAGGAGTTACTCGACGTGCTTATCATGAAAATGAATTCCTTTGCATGATGGAACTTTATTGAGGGGTTACCGTAAATCATTATAAAATTACTCAAACTACTGGAGGGCAGTGGAGAGGTCAAATATTTTACCATAGTCAGAGCATTTGGCCCTTTCTAAATCCCGCCTGATACTCTGGGCTGCTTATCTCCCTCCAACATGTTTCAGCTTTATTGAGAACAATAAAAGGCGTTTTTTTCGCTTGTTAACAGCTATGCTCGAATCCAGGCAATATGAGGAGCATGGTGTAGATCACACGCTTTCGGACCTGACAGGTTCTGACGTTAGTGATGGCTGTGTTCTGTATAATGGAGCTCTGTCGTCTACAGGAAGAGTTGGGAGATTCCACGCTTGCCGATGCGTAACTAGAAATAGACGAGGAAGCGCTCGACGAATGGCTGAGAGGGGTAGGGTTTTCTTGCATCCAAAATGTCCGACATGTCATCTGTAAGTCTTTTCCAACCAAGCAGGACCTGGAACTGCCATCCAACGGCCGATAGGGACCGAAGTTACGAAGAGGAAGGTGCCAGCGTCGCGAGACTTTCTTGGGTTAAATGCATATGCAAGGTTCCGCTTGCTCAGATCTATGCTCTTCCTACTTTCAGTCCATGACTTCTACATCGTGGAAGCCAAGAAGCACGAGCTCGACATTGGCCACACCACGACTAATCATTGGGAGTACTACTTTTGAGACATCTGCTATAAATATTTCTAGAGAGCGCCTTGTCCTTGGAGGTTCCGGGCACGTCACCGAGATAGATGAGACTTGTGAGACGAAGAGGAAGTGCAATCGAGAGCCAGCGGTTTGACGCCACCAGTGGCTCTTTGGTGGCTGAGCGAAAGAGCGGCTGGCTCTGAGGGTGCGTTCATACCGCGCCGGCAGCAGCCGCTAGCAGCCCGTAGCAGCCGCCAGCAGCCCGCAGCAGCCCGTAACCGCTGCTGGCCGCTATTGTTATAGAAGCGCAGAATTATCAGAGAACTACTTTGAGTGCTCCTGCCTATTCTTCTGATGCCGCCAGTGGGTAGTTCGATCTCACAAATCATATTTGTGTCCACTCCATTACAATATCGCCCCACGGTCATTCCTGTTGAACCATAGTTCACATCCGGTGTGATTCCCTCTGACTTTGGATGCGTCCAGTTTCTGCAGGAGTGCAATTTGTTTACTTTTTGAGTATGTTTTTGCTTCTCTTCTTCTTGGCTATCGGTGCATATCTGAATTGCATTCTACTATTTCGCAAGTTCGCCGAACTGATTTGCCGGTAGGTTCTTCCAACTTGACAATGGCTCACATTCGTTTTAGACAAGACAGATTGCAAAAGTGAAATTTGGGCACCGATAGGATGCAATGTGCGGCAGCAGAACAATGAACACAAATGTAATAAATAAAATCGAACCACCACTGGCGGCAACAGAAGAAAAAGCGTGGAAGATGAAAAGCGTAAGCAGGAGCAGTCAAAGTAGTAAGATTCTGATGATTTTGGTGATTTTGCGCCTCTATAACAAAAGCGGCCAGCGGCAGCTACAAGCTGCTACGGGCTGCTGGCGGCTGCTGTAGGCTGCTACGGGCTGCAGCGGTGGTTGCCGGCGCAGTATGAAGGCACCCTATTCTGATATGCCAGCGCAAGCCAGGACGTTCCTCAGGCTGATGGCAAGGGGCCGGAACCACAGTGGCCGTTCGCGTGCCTATAACGGAATCGCATCTTTGCTGCAGAAAAACCACCTCCTCCTGACTGAGAACCAACAGATGATCTTCGTAGATTCCAACAATGACCTCACACCCAGCACTTAGGGCCGCATGCACTAACATTTCCGCTGGGGAGGGGATTGCAGCTCAAAAGAAAGCTTCATATTCTAAAGCTCCAGATATCTGGTTTTACCCTGTCTACCTGTCCGTAAGTATTCCTACTATCCTTTACTGTGAACATGTTGAACAGGAACGAGAAGCTGTACAAATCGCATTTTCCAGCTTTTGTATGATCCCTGAACATCCCCGGCGCATTTCTTCAGAGTCATTTTTCTTCCTCCGAAGTTGACGAAAACCTTCCAAAGTTGTACTGAACATCTAACACAACAGTGCTAAGCATGTTGCTGATGAGATCAAATGAATTTTTGAAAAATCGAATTTTTCGGTAAACCCCAAATTTCGACCTGTGGATCACAGAAAATTTCATGACTCCAAAACATCATTTGTTCTTATCAGCAACATGCTTAGCACTGTTTTGTTAGATGTTCAGTACAACTTTGGAAGGTTTTCGTTAACTTCGAAGAAAGAAAAATGACTTTGAAGAAAAGCGCCGGGGATCATCAGGGATCATACAAAAGCTGGAAAATGCGGTTCGTACAGTTTCTCCCTCCTGTTCAACATGTTCATAGTGAAGGATAGTAGGAATGCTTACGGATAGGTACACGACGTGAAATCCAGGTATCTGGAGTTTCGAAATATTAAGCTTTCTTTTAAGCTGCGATCCCCTCCCCGCGGCAATGTTAGTGCATGCGGCCCTTAGAGAGCCATTGGCCGAAGTTTAAGAGAATGGCGAAGCGAAAGTGCGGCATCAACAACAGCCGTTACGCGGGACTACCTCAAGGGAGTCGTATGGAGGCATATGTTCAGAAGGTTTGAAGTGTCGCTTTACAACTTCTAGAAGTAGGTAGCTAATTTATATTCAGTCTCCTGTTACCAGACTGAAGGGCCGGGCATACCCGTCGCGAGGCAATCGTCGCGATTTGCCATTGCTGGGAACTAGGGACGAAGACGCGCGACTGATCGCTAATGGCTCGGATATGGGGCATACCTCTGAAGCGATTTGTGCATTCTCACACTACACCAAATTTTGTTGTCAGTTTGTGGTGTCGTTAACAAATAACAGAGAAATGAGTAGAGAAAACCGATACATTCGGAGAATGCTGGACTCATTCGCACTTCTCATGCAAAATCTAGCTTCAAAAAGTAAAAAAACATCAGAATCAGAATTAAAGAAATTCTAATCCAAGCGATGCATGCGTCGCGTATTTGAAATGAGCGACGCGAATTCGCTGAGATGAGCGACGATCGCTCGGATGGGCATGGCATAGCAAAATCGGTCAGCGATGCGTCGCGCCGGACAGCTAGCACATACTTACGGAGATCCTACCCGCGTTTAACACCATCCTTTAGCAGAGCTCGCGACGCGATGGATCGCTACCCGGTATTCCCGACCCTTAACATTGTCCCAACGGCCCTTTTGGGGCCATCAGTGCAAATGGCTAGAGTTTGAAGCGGGTTTTCCGGATAAAAGTGTTATTTTATGATGGGCATGCAGAATAACCCCCCTAAGCAAAGTTCCAGCAATTAGATCTTGACCCCATACAACTTGTTCGTACTGTCCTCGTACGATTTCTTGATCCAGTACAAACCTCGTGAATAGGATTATTTACTAACAACACAAAGCACACCGAACTAATACGAGTTAGACACATCAGAAATATATCAACAAACAACTCCTAGAAAATTACCTTACCTTACCTTGACTTGTTACCGGGCTCCTCACTTGAGGACGAGGCTGGTTTTCCCATCGTAGAACTGCCCCGACTTCCCTTGGCTCCTCGTCCGAATATTCTTGCCTTTCTCAAAACATAAAGATAGAGAAAGATCTCAAGACATAAGGGTAAACAAAGACGTCCGCCATGAGAATTTATGGCGCCTAAGTTGCCGGGTAAATCATGAATCGAGGGAATCATGACACTCCCACATGCGAAAGCAATTTTTTGTTGTTATTGTTATTGTACAATGATTAATTGTTTAGTACGTTACAAAAGTAAATCTACATTTACGTACACTACAGAAATGAAAAAAAAAGACAAGCATTGAAATTTACATTTACATCTACAACACACACATACACACTGCATATTTTATGTAATAACGGAGATTCGATTCGTCGTTGACGATGATGACGTCCGGCCGCGAGTGGCTGTTGCGTTTTTTTTGTTGTTTTTTTTTGTTTTTTTTTGTATGTGTTATATTGCTGTATTGAATGTCGTGTTTAATGCCACTTCTATTCAATGTAATGGACTTCGTGCATTTCATCTTTATTGGTTTTCTTTTATTGATAATCGACAACTGACAGTTGATAACTGATAACTGATATGATAGTTGATAGCTGATAACTGATATGAAACTGATAGGTGATAGCTGATATGATAACTGTTAGTGGCGATTGATAAGTGATTACTGATAAGTGATATAATAGCTGATAACTGATACATGACAAATGATACAATAAGTGGTCATGACATTGACAATTGATACATATTGATAATTACCTTAGCATTTGAAATTGGCTTACAATTACGTTTACCTTAATGAGAGAATTGAAATAACATGGCGGAAGGTGAAGGTGTTCTTTCTTTTGCCATTTCCTTGGCTATTGGTTTGCCGTTGTTGTCGATGTTCGTATACCGTGTTCATGAGTGATTTCCACCGTCTTTTGATTTTGTCCAGTTCAGTACCCATTCTATCTTCTTGATTGTTCTATCTTCTTGATTGTCCTGAAAAAGAGGCGATACACTTTTTTGTTTTCATTTTGTACCTTGTGTTCAAGTGAATCTTGTTGAGTTGTTAACATTGATAGTTCCGCAAACGGTAAAACCTTTGTCGAAAGGTTGTGTATTCGGTGCAGTGGGGTGACCAATGTTTCCCCTTGCAGAGTGCGCACATCGGTTCATTTGGAACAGCATGCATTTTCAAAGGATTTCTTGCTATTTCCGATCTTTGGAATTTCCTTTCCCATGATATGGTTAGGTTGCACGTCACCCATGAGAACTGTAAACAACTCTTCTGATTTGTCGACCCTCTCGCTGAGTTGAAAGAGTTGATCAGGTGATGACGGGGAGGAAACAGCTACCATCAATTGTTGCTCCTGGCTTCCTTGTGTCATGTCTGTAACTACATTAGTTACTCAGCATCTCCTAATATTTATTTGAGAATTCGAGTTAACATGCGAAAAGGATTTTCCAAAGTTGGGAAACCGGAGTTCAAATAAATTAGAAAGTTTGAATAGAATGCAATATTGGCCGTTTGCCGCGAATGTACGGAGCTTGTGGTCGCGAATGCTGATCTGACTTTGCCTATGTTTTGTTTCCGTTCGAACTCGCGGAGCACTTGTTTGGATAGATCGCGCAGATAGCTATCTGCCAAGAATGTTAGCGCGGCCAACGTGCTTGCTGTATAGAGCATCAGTGCATCATTAAGCTTAAACGAGGGGTTCATTATTTTTTGTAGGGTATTACTTCTACAGATTTTTCCAATAATAGAACAAATGAATTTGAATTTGTTGATATCACATGAATTGAGGATTTTCGGGATGTTTTGTTACCTCTGGTGTCATTTTACCTTGTATTTCAGCGCTCATTATCTTAAAATTTCTCAAGAATTGCCTCTATTATGTGTATGTGTTATCTCAGGAGGGAATTGTACTGTAAGCATTTGTTTTGGTTCCCCACTTGCGGATTTCAAGCATTATGGGCCAATGATGTTATCGCGATAATGGTGTTCTGTGCGCTAGTTTCTTTGTTGTTGTGATGATCGCGTAGTTTTTGCTTCATTGGCTGTTCTCCGTAAGAATATGCGTTGTTTTTCGAGTCGGTTTTCGCTGGAAGATACTTCATTTGGTCCTTGTGTACAATCTTTTTTGTTTTTGTTGTAACAGACTCGCCATGTGAAGATTCTAAGTTTTTCACTTCTCGTATTTTCTTGAATTTCTTCGTCAAATTCTAAGGAAATAAGCATATTCACTAAACGATTTACCATTAGATTTCCTTTTTTTTCTTCTATCAACTTTACCAATAACCTTAAGTTCTATTTTCCTCTTGAGTTGTTGTCTCTATAGTGAATATCACTTCTTTTTTGGGATATTATCGAGAATATTGTTTTTGACGTAATCTTTTTTTTTGGTGATTTCTGCGTTTCAGAAAGTATTGTTAATTTTAATATTTTTCGAAGACTGCCCCGGAGCTTAGAATTGCTCCAGTTTTCAAAGTAATCTCGCCTGAGTTTTCGTCGTGTTCGACGAAACTGACTCATCAGTGCCTTGTGTTGCTTTGTTTTGAATTGGCAGACGTTCGATGTGCACTTGAAGGACAAAAAAGGGACTTGAAATAACCTATTCTTTTGACGTATTTTTTATTATCTTGGATTTACCATTGGTTCACGTTCCGCTACAATTTATTCAAACACGATTGTGCTTAGAATTACGAGTAGCCGTTCATTTAAGAACCAATTTTAGCGTTCCCATGAGATTTTCGTGAAAAGCTTATCTCTAAGGCAGCAAGGGGATGATAAATCTCCACTCCGTTGTACTCATTGCTAGGATTTTTCTGAATTGTTTTTGTTAATTATTTTCCGTTACATTAACGCATTATCGAAATAATAGTCTTACTTATTGTCTACGCGTCGAGATTCATCGTGCGCGTCCAGTGTATAGCTCTTTTCGCCATGCTGTTGCCAGAACATTTATTTTTGAAAGCTTTTACTTTAGTTATCGTGCGGAGTCGTCTCGCAAGATCGATTTGTAAATGTTGGACTAGACGGCAGTGCTTGTGTGCATTTATTTTTCAAGAAGGAGAATTGGGATTACAGGTATAGTTGTCTATTCTATTTTTTGCCAATATCCCTTTTATTTAAACAATTTCTTATCACTTGTCGTCCCCGTGGTTTTAAAAATTCTGATCGTATGTTTTTTTCTTTGTTTTGTTTTTTGTTCAAATAGCATGAACGCCTTTGTATTACAAAGCATTTGTTATCCTTTTTTGTTCCCTTGAGAGTTCGTGCGATGTTTGGGCTGAAGCAAGGGTTATATTCTGTAGGAGTATTGCAGGAGATCAATTTATGCCCTGCGACAATCTCTTTTTTTGAGGTATCCTCTTGCTCGATTCTGGGAACTGGAAATGATTTCCAAATTGGGCGAGTTTTCTTGTTCTATTCGAAGTCTAGGATTTATAATTTACTTTGAAAAATAGATGACTTGCGGCTGTAATTGGATTTGCTTCTCCTTTCCATTTTTTGTTATTCCAGTCCTTCGTTTTCATCAAAGCCACTTGACATTGCTGTTCTATATTCCTTTTTTTTCTAATATCGTTAAAAATTACCTTTTATGTTTCCATCTCTTAATTTTCGAAGCTAATATACTCGTATTCATTGTACAATAAAATTGCGTGATTTCCATTTTCTTGTTCAAAGCTTGTACCACGATCGTTTTTGTTGCCAGAAGCTTTTGATTCTTCCATTATCGTGGAGCTTTCAGTTAATTCTTTAGTTTCTTATAATATTTTTAGTTTACTAGATTATCAAGCAAGTCTTTATCTTGCCTCTTTCAGGTCAAGAGCTGAACTCGACAACACTCCAAATGCGTCGCCTACACGTGATCTCAACTGAAGAGCAACTTTTGACTTGGAATTTGGAGGCTTGACTGTCTTCTATACCGTTATTTGTTTGAGTTTGGCGTGCTAATGTTATTTTTCCTATCTTGTGAGATTCCTTTTATTTTCGTGCCTTGTGCATCAATAAATCTCTGCGAGGTAATCTTCGTTTTGAAAGTTTTTGTTGTTTGGTGTTCTGCCGACAATTTTCTGGTATCCTTCCGGTACCTACCGTTACTGTACCATTCCGGTAATGTTGGTAAAATATTAGGTCGTAGTCGCACCGAAAGTTCTTGCGCACGATTTTCAAAAATCCATAACTTCTTCCGAACGATTTGACTGCATTTATTTTTGTATAAAAGAGTAGGTCATGCTCTTTATAACGACATCTTAACTGCTTACTAATGTTCAATTGTTGCATAGATAGGAGCGATAGAAGAAAATTGGTCAAAATTTGAATTTTCTGTTTAGGGTCATAAAAAATCGGAAACTGCAACAAAAATTTGAGCAGTCGGTATATTGTAGGTTTTTTTTCACCAGCTCTTTCTAACTGTGCAAAGTTTGCGCCGATTGAGCGTCTCTATGAAAAGTTACGACTTTCGAGCAAGCAATACAAAAGGGCGAATTTGATTTATTTTGGTATTTTTCAGGGAAATCATAACTTTTCATAGAGACGCTAAATCAGCGCAAACTTTGCATTGTTACAAAGAGCTGGTGAAAGAACCTACAATACCGACTGCTCCGATTTTTCTTGCAAATTTCCGATTTTTTATGACCCTACACGAAAAATTTAAATGTTGAGTGACTTTAGTTTTCAGCTTCTATCTCCTTCATTTGTACACATTGACGAACACTTCAAGTAAAGTTGCAAAGAGCATGAGTTCCTCCCTTATACAAAATTTAGATCTTGTAAATTTGTTGAGAATTCAACAAGTTATGAATTTTTGAAAATCGTGCGCAAGAACTTTCGGTACGACCCGATATAACCTTTTCTTTTTGTACCCTTCGGGTACTCGTCGTTCAAAATTTTGTACCCTTCCGGTACTTTTTGTTTAAAACTTTGTATCCTTCCGGTACTCTTCGTTGAGGCAGCTGCGTAATAACATTGTGAAGCGATTCTATTCTTCTTCAGTTTGCTTGCAAGGTAGGCACGACGTTAGGAAAGGCTTTGTGCTCCGTTGGGTCTTCCTGAGCCTTATTGCCTTGTGTTACCTTGCCAGTTTCTGCCTATGGTTTCAACCGGCCATTTTCGAGTTTGACCGATGCACCATGTTCGTACTGTCCTCGTACGATTACTTGATCCAATACAAACCTCGCGAATAGGATTATTTATTAACAACACAAATCACATTGAACTACGAGTTAAACACATCAGAAATATATTCAACAAATAACTCCTAGGAAATTACCTTACCTTACCTTGACTTGTTACCGGGCTCCTCACCTGAGGTACGAGGCTGGTTTTCCTATCGTACGTGCTGCTCCGACTTCCCTTGGCTCTCCCTTTAGATAGTCTTGCCTTTCAAAAACATAAAGATAAAGAAAGATCACAAAACATAAAGGTAAACAAAAAGAATGTATGGCGCCTAAGTTGCCAGGTAATTCATGAGTCGAGGAATTCATAACACCACCTACGGTGCTTGGCAGGCTTACCTGGCAATCCAGGTAAGCCTGCCAAGCTTTTTCATGGGGAATGGATATGATATTCATGATCAGCATGTTTAATAACCCGTTTGCGCAAAGTTCCAATGAGATCTGAGATTTGAATCGCAGCGTACACCTGCGTAACCCCACCCCTCCCCCACCCCTGCCTCGAAAAAAGGTTCTACCATGCAAAATAAATACCATTTTCATGGTCAGCGCGTCAGCGAAATCTAGCGTGATATTCAGTTTCTGGGTTGTATGAGTTGATTTTCAGTTCTTGGTTTGTATAAAGTGGAATAGTACTCAAATGTGTGAAATGCCCGTCATTTAGAGTGTTGCTGCTCAGCTTGCTCAAAACCGTTCTACGAGGTAAGTAAAGCGCGTGTATGTAAGCAGCTTTTCGTTTATGTTCCACAATTGACAAGTTTCGGACCGGGCTGCACATGGTGCAGCAAGCTGCTTTCAAGAATCTTTTTGACGCTTATTTTCTTTCAGTTCAAGATTATCAACCCAAAGGCCTAAGCTCCTCTTTTCAAATGACTCGCTGTGCCGCCAATATTGATTAGAAGATATGAGGACGATGAACAACAGTTGTAACAATGTGCGGCAACGCGAAAGACGCGTGTGACATCGCAAGTTTCCTTTCCTGCCTTTTCAAAAAGAAAAACCATAGTTTCAATCAATACTGATGTGTACCGTGTGCAAATTAGATACTTTTGGATACTATTAGGAATTGAGTTCGTGCTACTATCTTTCAAGAAAGCACAGAAGTCCTTCTAAACCGGCAAAATTCAAACACTTCGTATTCACTCAGAACTTTGGATATGGAGCTTATCCGACATGCTGATTACAGATGTAGCACGCAGCCTACGAAATAAGGTCCCTTTGTTGGCTAACGGCTGAAAGTAAACTCTTTTTCGCCGCGCGCGATTTCGCGGTCCGAAACGTGTTAAGATGCATTTGCGGTGCAGCATCGCACAATTCTGAACTAGCTAGAAGTGACGTGAAATTCTTCACACTCAGTCTGACATGGGGATTTCCTTGGAAATAAGGCATGTCAACTGACCATAGACACCAGGATGGCTCGCAAATCGAACAGTTCCGCATATTGAAGAAGCACCTGCACTGCTTTGAATCGGTAGTCTTCATCGTAAGATAAACGCTTCGTTGATGGCGTCTCCCGAGGACCTATTCTGCCAATAACCTACATCAACTCACTTTTAGTATCAAAGTAAATCGACTAAGTTACAAGTGCAAGTCTGCATACTGTTGGGCAACGTAGGATCCTCCAAAATTCGCATTCGGAGAAAACTGCAACGCAAAGTTTGCTTCCAATTGGGCGAAATGGTCCAAAATTGGAAACACAGATATGTATACACGACCCTCGTACGGAAGCTGAAATAACAGATATCAAACAAACAAGTAACTTAAGTCGTGTTCTTTCTTTTTGAAATCTAGGCCCCCGCCAGAGTGCCGAAGCCACGCCAGCGCTGCGCCGGCGCCGAGCCAGCGTTTCGATCGATACACGCGTATTTCGTTGGGGCGGGCTCTGGCTGAGGACCAGGTCAGCCAGCCCCGCCCCAACGAAATACACGTGTATCGATCAAAACGCTGGCTCGGCGCCGGCGTGGCGCTGGCGTGGCTTCGGCACTCTGGCGGGGGCCTTAGCGTCATTTTCACTTTCAACAAATATGAATAAGTGAAAGCAAAATTTGCTTGTCGTATTTTTTCTCGTTTAATCTCCGTAATGTATGCCGTGTGTGTTCTTGCAGACAATGCGTCCGAAGATGCTTGTGCCGGTGCCATGCCAGCGCCGTTCCAGCCCCGCTCCAGTGCCGTGTTAGCGCGTGCCAAAAAGTCGATCGATCAGAAACGGGCTGTGCACGAGGGTGCCGGCACGACGCTGACACACTTCTAGCACCCGGGCAACTCTAAAACGCTAAGAATTGCTTTAGCTTACTTTTTTTAGAGACTTACATATACAGCAAAAAAGAAGCTGAGGAAACTCAATTTTTGAAGAAAACGATACAAGGTGTCTGACAGCTTACGTCAGCAGAAAGCTCACCGTTCCCCGACGTTCAGGCTCGCTGATCTGGATGTAATCAATGCGAAGTTTTGTCCTCGATGCCAAAGCATACGATTCCTTGCTCAAAAGCATGAATCGCATGACGGTGTGGAAAGAAGTGTATCGCAAGATTTTTATCTTTAGTTCAGATGGTAGCTCACTCCATCGATGGAATATGTTAAGTGAGTCATTTGTGTCTGATTCCTTCGTAGGACTGGGGTGAACCAACGGGTTGGACATGTCTGCAAAAGCAAAAAATTCGTTCGCCAAAAGGTGCAGGGTTTGTATCACACTTAACAAGAAACCCAAAGCATACATAAAGGTTTGTGTATTACTAACACAACATATACTCAGAAAATATGATATCAAATGCATTGAAACATAGGGAGTCTTAAATTCGATGATTGGACAAAAACATCAAATATTTCAAAAGTGTGGCAAACATAAACATCGAAAGAGATTGTTGTATAGTTTTTAAACAACCCAATATACGGGGTGTCTCAAAATAATGTGCCTACTTTGACTGTTAATTACTCTTTTGATATGAAATCTTTCGGGAAGAATTAGGCAGCATTTTGTACAATTGGCTTCAACTTAGATTCACAGTATGGAGGGAATTACCGATTTTTCTTCATTGCTGTAATATCACGGCAGGAACTCGCAGCTTATGTGAGACTGCGAGATACGCCCTTTGAAAAAAAAAATTTGAAAAAATTTGAAAATTTGTGTAACAAGGTTTTCATACATGCTGATTTCGCTACATAACTTTTTGTGTGTTCGCAAAGCTTTTTGAACGGCATAATCGAATTTTCGACACATATCAGAATTCCGTTGCTACGTTATATCTGGCATAGATTATCAAAAGAGCATTATGCGAATTGCGAATTTTATATATGGAATCACCAACCCTGATCAACTTACTGCGAGAGTTTTCAGCTTCTCTAGTCCTTTTTAGAGGTAAAATATGACCCTCAATGACGCAAAACCCTTTTTAAATTTTTTACCGTAAACTTGCAGTAATGAAGAGACATTGATAATTCGTTCTATACTATAAATTTAAGCTAAAGTCAGCTCTACAAAATGGTGCCTTCTCAGATTCAATGACAAGAGAGTTATTACCCTAATTTCACGAGTACAAGGCGCACCTTTTTCGATTTTTCGACTAAGCCCCTCAGCCGCTTCAAATTACTTCGGAAAGCGTCCTTATGCCGTACGATTCTCTTAGGCCTAAGGCATACCTCTTGCGATTTCGCGAAATCGCCACATCCACGCGACTTGGCGATTTGCCAGATGTCCCTAGATTAAGCATGCGAGGCTCTTAGATGCATGGGTGCGTAGATTCCGTAAATTGTAACAAGCGCAGCAAGTCTGGCCCAAGCAAAGTGCGTTTACGACCAGCTATGGAGAATCGTTGCAGTGCCAAATCGCGCGGCGATTAAAATGCTGAGGTATGCCTTAGGCCTTAAGCAATATACAGCAGGGCATAAGGTCCTTTGGTTGCGAAGTTCTTTGGCGTATTTAAGCCGGTCGATTTTAGAAAAAAAATTCCCCGGGCCTTGTACGCGTGAAATTAGGGTAACAATCATACAGAAGGCACATTTTTCACCCTGTATTTTGAGATACAAATCATAAAGGCACCGTCCACCCAAATTGAGGTCGATGAGATTTTGATGCCTAACAGTAGTGGGACCCCCAACTGTATATTTATCCAACTCGCGCTGGCAAAAGCTACTTCCGAAGCGGGAAAATTGCTGCAAAAATCGCTCGGATGACAGATTCGCCACGTTGGTTCCTCTCTTTCGAGTGGGCGTGACGTTGATCCCGCCCATCCGTGCCCACCCAACCAATCACCGTTCCGAAGAAATCGCTGTGCGGGTTCTGGAAACGGGGTTTTCGTGGTTTTCGCGGATTTCCGAATATTCGGAATCAGGGGTATGAGAAGGCCCTGGAACGGCAAAAACAGGAGGTCGAATTTTTGGGTGGACAGTGCCTTTAAATCTTGAACAAACCGAAATCAAAGCTTTATATCTATAATTTCTCTTGACTGTAAGATTTTTGAAGATGAGGGCTTCGATTTTTGAATATGGTTGAGTGAATAAATGGCGTAATTCTGCTCCTGTCGTTCACCGTTCAAAAAGTGTAGCGTTGAAAATATCTTTTCTGATTAATTGGTTAGGTATTGACATTGAAAAAAACACTAGAAATTAAATATGAGGGACCCGCCATACTTCGCCGAGAAAAACTCAAACGGTCAAAAAGCCAAATAATGAACAAAAGCACCAGAAAAGCCAAAAAGCCCGAAAGTGCCGGAAGGCAGAAATGAGCTTTTGATAGAATTCTGACATTATTTGAATGTGGACGACAGAAAATGAACCAAAAAGACTCGGTTGCGAAACCAACACACATGCCTTAGCGGCAAAACGTGCGCGCGGAGGAGGCGCTCTTTCTGGCGCATTTGGGCTTTTTTAGGCTTTTTCGGCGAAGCATGACGGGTCCCTGATGATGAAACTAGCTAGATCAGGTGCCCTCATTCTTATCTGGTACCTTGCAAGAATGCTATTGTTTCTGTTCTGTTTTTTGTTTCTATCTATATTCCAACAAGAAAAAGAAAGCCTAGAAGGAAGCAGACCAAAAGGAAGGAGATGTGTCAGTTTTTGCCAAGTGAATAAATGCGCAACCTGCTCACCCAATACTCGACAATTCTATTTGCACATTTTTTTGTAGCTAGAGCTAAGTCTGAAAGCATTATATTACAAGCTTATGGGCTGCACGCATCAAGCAGAAAGCACTCAAAAGCGCATGTGAGCTTGCACTTAATGGATTAAAGCTGAAGTTTATACACATTAGATGATTCGCTTAAACTCTCAAAAAATTCTCCTTATTATGTAAAATGGCAGTTTCGCAGCGCTCAAAAGCTCAGTATACTGAAATATGTTGTGGTCCTAAGACTAGCTATCATGTGGGAATGATGCTAACAATAAGTTGTTCCACAACTTTTCAAATTTTCCGATTTGAAATATTATAACTTTTCTCAAAATTAACATTTTCGAACAAATTGAGCGAGTATATGGCTGTCACAAATACAATATGTCATGTGAAGAAGGAAAGGAAGAGAGAAGAGAAAATTTGGAAAATTCTACAGATTTCCCTCAAGATGTCTACTTTGACACACTAATGCTTCCAACAAGGATAGGCAGACATATTTATCTGCATCACTTTATAACCTATACTTCAGAGATTGTTTTATAATTGGAGAGAATCTGAGATGTCTTTGTTGCATGGGAATTATGAGCAAAGAAAAAGCCATTATTTGAGCCCTCTCTAGCACGCGCAAATTTGGCTATTTTCTGTAATTTGATTTTTTTTTGCTGTAGCGAAAAAAAGCTAATTGGCTGATGGTCTCTGCTTGCTCCTGCTTTACTCTAACATATGCAGTATTGAATACAACACTAGTTACTATACGTAGATTGTTGTCGCTCATAGAATAACTGAGGGATTCTTCAACTTTCAAAGATCAGCTTGAAAAGTAAGACATTTCGTATGGAAGTGAGTGTACTTAAGTTCCCATAACACCCCTACCCATTATAAAATATCAAATAATTGGTCTGGTGCCATGGATGATGCTTTGTCCCGTTTTTAGGCCTCTGAGGACGGCGAACGCGCCGAAATGTTAGGCCATTCGAATAAAGATACCACCATAACAAACCTGTACGGCACAAACAAAATTGGAGATTATCAAATAATCAATTTTACGAGCATTTAGAGCACTGCGGAGATTCAGTTCATAGTAACTTTTTCTTGAGCATGACTGCATTTCGACAACTTGGCTTCGGGGCTTGGAATCTTATCACTGAGAAGGTGCTTGTCGGAAATGTAAGCATTTGAAAAAACAGAAAAGCGCTTCTAGGTGCTGTTCATAATTTTGCATTGAGTACAGAACTCTAAAAAAATAGCTGCGTTAAATCGAAGCAACCGAAAAGCGGACCGAGGGTTCGGGATAGCCTAGTACAGGTGCTAATCGGTTGCGAGAGTTGAGAATTGAAAATATTCTCTGATTGATTAATCAATCACAGTTACCTATAAATGGCAAAATGAGTTCACTAAGCAAGATTTGCTTCGCTTCAAAGATCGTTGCAGACAATCAGCATTTTCAAACATTTCTCTTCGGCTCTTTATCAAGTTCCACAAAGAATTTTGTACGCTTTTCACTTACACACGATGTCCTCCTTTCATATTACAACCGCAAAACCATGCACAAATCGTCCAACTCGCTACGAGTAACGCACAGAACTTGATATAAAGTGAAAAAAAGTGGATACAACTGACAGAGTGTGTGGAAAACTTATCTCTGCATTTTTTTCCGGCAATTTATTGGCAAATCAACTCATATTTTCGCAACTTCCTGTGACTTATTTAAAGCGTTTAATTTTTTTAGATTTCCTTGAAAAGCACTATTTTCTCTAAGTGTATGCAAATTCCCACCCGAAGAGGGTTTGAACAGTGAATAAATGTTTAGCGACGGGTAATGACAATCTAACCATGAACGAAGGTGCGCTTGGAATAAAAACGAATCTAAAGAGGGATGTATTTAGACGTTTCTATTTAAACGTACTATGCTATACATAACAGGAAATGGATGACTCAACAATAAGCCAAATTCGATAGTACATTAAGTGAAAAATCTGCTGACTTGCAAGTAAACCGATAAATTCTGAATGTTTGCGAAGGCTTCATAAATGATTGGGATATCCATTCCAATTGAAGTGAGAAGTGATTGTTTGAAAGAAAAAAGGAGAATCAAGCAGATATGAGATGCTCAGGAGCCACAACTTCTTGAGATCATTAACAGCGCTTGATTTTGAGATTTCTAAAGAAGGTTTTTCTATGTGTGTACAGCTTCGCACCCGAAGCAGGTTTTGAACAATAAATCAATCTTTAGCGGTAAAGGACATTTCAGGTTTCGAAATGAAAACAATGAAATGTTGCTGACTTGCAAGTGAACCGATAATTGCTGAGTGTTTGGGAAGGCTTTAGAAAGGTTCGGGATATCCATTCCGTTTGCACGAAAAGTAATTGATCGACATGAAAGCAAAGGAGAATCAAGTAGATATTCGACTAGGTTTGCTAATAATCGGAACTAATCGAAAACAAAAAAATTGCAAACTTTTTGCTGAAATTGAGCACATTCAATGCTCATCCTTTCTCCTTCAATAACGCTGCAATGTTTACCTTGCTCAACAAATTTTCCCCTTTCTTCCATTTCACGCTGTGTTTTTGCAGAAAAGATAGGAAAGCGATTGATTTTATTTGTAGCAAGAATTTCACCTCTCAGTTTACATGATAAATTTTGCTACAACCGATCTTCGCCACACTAATTATGTAAAAGTCAAATTGCAAGCATTTCACTATAACCCCATTCGCCCTTCCCGCCCTCCCGCTCGCTCGACTAATGGGACCCTCAAAATCAAGTATTATCAGAGACTTCATCTTGAATGATAGAGAGTCATAGGAACAGCGCGATGAGAACCATCAATGAATGTAACATTTTCTGTTTTTTTCCAAAATCATTTCTACGATACTGCGGTTGCTCATCAAAGAATTCTTTTGAATGTTTCGATCTTTTACGTTATAACATCCTACGATTGCAGAAAAAAACATGAAATCATAAAAAAATGGGATCATGATTATTTCCAAACAACAATAGACGAAGAAACTAGTCAGTATGAACGCTAGAAAAAAATGTAGAAAAATTCTGGTGCAAAGTAGGCTTTTATTTTCGTTAATGAGCGCTTATAAAAATTTTGAGCTTAAAACTATGATAACTACAACTTAATCAACTTAATCTTAGACAATTTCTTCAGAAATTACATGGATCACTACACAAGGAAGAATACGGAATGCAGTGAGTAATATCAGAAGTTTAGTTGCCAGTTAATTCAGTTCTATTTCGACACAACCGTAAAGCAAGAAATTTGAGTATCAAACTGAATTAATGCAGCAGCTAAAATTGGAGGGTAATTGGATACATGCACGAACAAGTGCAGCAATGTTTAATTTAGCATGCAATATCATAAAAATTCAAAAGATGACAAAATCAAATTGCAAGATATTGAAGTGCTCGTAACCTGGAAACATCGGGTTAACGATATGATAAACCATTAAGCTTTATTGATATAAAAGTGGCGCACCTACATAGAATCACAATCAAATCAAACTCGAAGTACACGATTACTTGTACAAAAAACCAACGAAGAATACATATAAGTTCCATAATTATTAATTGAAAGTCATCAAGCTGCCGGGAAAATACACAGCATATCCTCAGCCATAAAATCGTTGAGATATCCATTATCGAATCTGGCGTCAAATCTTCTATGTGTATCCGACAATATGCGCTAACATTTTCTGAAAAGATACAAAATTCTCTCCTTGCAAAATAACAGTATTATGGCCACCATGACAGCTTTGAAAAATACGATTACTTCGGTTCTAATACGAGCATTATTGAGGAAAAATGATGTACAGCTTATAATTCCCGTGATAACTCTACTATAACTTTGTATATGTCTGAAATTCACGAATATTCGACGGTTGTGCTCCTGCGGTGACAACAACATTTGCGCGGTAAAGTGCTATGCACAGTGCTGACAACTTGATTGGGAGCGGCGCGTAAAAAGCGCCCTTGAAGAGCCCGTTGCCATTGTTTTCACGTGTGAATGTTGTGGTCTATGCAAGAACACGTATCAAGGTCAAATCTACTGACTGATATAAATACCTGAACATTCTACCAAAATTCAGCCTTGAATTAAATTTAACAAAAAAGAATAAACTTTCCCTAAAGTTGGTGTCAACTGAATGAAGCTCTGCATTTTTGTATTAATTCCAAAAATTTTGTGGGTTAAGCTGACTCAGGAGGAAATAAGAATATCGTCAAGGTAAAGACTTTTCGCGTCTACTGAAGTGGATCGATATCCAGAGTAGGTTACGAGTTGTGTAGGAGGGAAGAGTGGTTGCACTCTTGGCAGAAATGGTATATAACGATTCGCCATCAAGGAGGAAGAACTAACAACCATATCATAAAAGATAAGAAAAATAGCTGTGTCTTCATAAAAATGCAAGAAAAAAGCAAGTTTATTCTACGTACTCTCTTCTTCTTCCAATAGAATATACCCGGTTTCAAAAACCGATTTAACATACCCAGCTTTAAAGAAGAAAACGATATTAGTCGAAACGGTCAATAAAGATCCACCACAAAACCTGGTTGGCAGAAGAACTACACGATATCCGATATAAAACTAAGTTGTGCATTTATGCTTCCAAAGAAGCGATGAAAGATACGTTTGTGATACGAGTATTAGGAATAAAAATCAGAAATAGGTAAGTGAATTAGCCGTACAATAGAAACTCAAATTTGCCACGATGAAGTTCGAAATGTATGAGCGCAAGATGGACAGGACTGGCAAATGAACGAAATATCGATTCACTTTTATCTGAGTCATCCGCTGTCGCTGCCATGGCAAACGAAAAATGTGCCTATGGCAGAAAATTTTCTTCCAAAACAACATTTGCAAAACACACCACACAAAACATTCCATCATCCTTTTCAGGTCCAAAAGGAGGAGATGATGAACATTTCTTTGGACTAGAAAAAAGAAAGTGTAGGTGTAATAATGCCACCTCAAAAACGACTCTTTATATACACAGAGATGTATGTGCGACCGCATAATGGAAAAGCTTATTTGTAAGAAATGCATCCCCGTGGCCGACGATACTCGGTAGAGTACGCACAATGTGTGCAGTATGTGCAGTCACACATATTAGGGCATGAATTACTAAAAATCCGTGTTAATCATAGCTCCCTTTTCCGTAAGCGCAATCGCCTGCCAGAGCTTCGTGCCAAGTCCGCGCACGGGGCAGATTGGCCTCATCGATTGAGGGTCCGCACGCAAGGCCCTCGCGTTGCGCATGCATAGTTCCTAAGCGAAAGCTAGCACCATTAACACAGATTGTAGATCGCGACATGGATAGCGTTCCGATTTAACGCTATCCAGCTATTATTCCTCAAAAGTCGTCATGAATTCCGCTTGAACTTCCGGTGAAGTTACGTGACATGCTTATCAAAAAGTTCACATATTTTCAGCACGGAAATATCTCTCCATGTGGTTACGTTGTCAAATAGAAAGGGGTCAAAACACAGATTTAGCTGAAAATCTGTCTTGGGATTATTTGACATCCTAATCATCGAAATCATAGCCGCTAGCTCCGATAACGCGTTGCTGCGTAGTAACGTAGGCCTATGTTAAGGAATCCACAGACGAGGACGAGCTGAAACTCAAGATCTAATTGTAAGTTGTTGGTTGCGAATATGGTGCTCCGAACTCTCGTCTCCGCAGAAGCTCCCTCAGGTAGTCTGTGTAGCGCTTGCCATTGATTTCGCTTCTGTCTTCCCGAATTTTACCCTGGAACTGTTCATGTTGTGGGAGTGCGCGCCTATTGTTAGATCCAGTTTATTTGTTGGTTCAAGGTAAGATGGACGTAACCCTGTGGCAAGGCAGCGATGCGATTACACTCTTAACAGTAATCGCTGATGACGGTTGTGCCGGATCGATACCTGGTTATTAGGCGAATAAAGGTCCGTGTATCGCGTCGAGGTACGAGCTTGAGGAATCATCTCCAGTCTCCTGTTTCGTGGTCTTCAAAGAGCCACAACGATTGTATTCCTATTAGTCACACATCTTATCAATTTCAGCAGTCTGTCCAAATACTCTCAAAACAGGGTGTTCTCGTCGGAAGAGCCCAAACAGACGTCACGAAAATATTGCTACTAGTGGACGATGCCACTTTGTCTGAACCATTAAATGTCTTAGCCTTGCTCCAATGTTGTGCAGCCAGAACTAGGGAGGGCAAAGGTCCCACCCGACGGATGTCTGTACAAAGGCAAGAACAAGCCATGCATGACGCTCACGCTTGGTTTTGTATCACTTGTAGGCTCGCAGGGGAATCGCGCTCGTAGCATTACCAGCGCTTATGCTCCAATTGAGCAATATCGCCTCACATGCACAGGCGCCGTAAAATCCAATTGCCCACGCGTCGCTTTGAACACCAACGCGCGGCGCGACTGGAAAGTTTGGTCACGAAGCGCTGCAGGCTTTTTGCGAGCGACAATGAGCGCGCACCCTTTCCACACATATTTTTTTCAAACTTTTGAAGGGAGCTTTCGTCAAGATATATCTTGCATTGACGAGAACAACATGAAAATTGAAGAAAGATTTCTTGGAATATAGTGAACGCCGACATTAGTTCGCGACGACCGCCCGCTTACGCTGGTGTTCAAGGCACGGCGCGGGCAATTAGGTTTTACGGCGCCTATACATTTGGCAGCGCTAGGTCTAGCCGGTACGAACCATTCTTAAAGGCAGTGGTCCGGGCAAAAAGTCGATTTTGAGATTTTGTGCTTACCCGGGCCTATTCCCTATGCTGAATCCGAATATCCACATTGGAAAGCGCGAAAACGGCGAAAAAGGGCTCTGATGCAGGAGTGAAATCAAAAGTGGGCGGGGTCTTCCCCAAGGTGAATTCACGGTCCCAGCTTTCGGAGCGATCTTTTAAATCCTAGTAGCCGCCCTGACATCTCAACGGACCAAGTGCGAATGCATGATCTGAAGTCGGAAGCGAAAAGATCGCTCCGAAAGCTGGGACCGTGAATTCACCTTGGGGAAGACCCCGCCCATTTTTAATTTCCCTCCTGCGTTAGAGCCCTTTTTCGCCGTTTTCGCGCTTTCCAATGTGGATTTTCGGATTCAGCGTAGCGAATAGGCCCGGGTAAGCACAAAATCTCAAAATCGAGTTTTTGCCCGGACACTGCCTTTAAAGGCAGTGTCCGGGCAGAAACTCGACTTCTAAAAAATCAACTTATCTGGGGTTATCCGCAACGCTGAATCCGAAAATCCACATCAGAAGGCGCGAAAACGGCGAGAACATGCATTTTCCAAGTCCTCACATTTCGAAATTTGGGGATCCCCGCCAGGCTAAGACGCAGAGGTTGCAAAGAGCGCACGGTTTTTAACTGTGGCGGCATGCGTACTCTGCCGTCTGGCAGGAATTCAAACAACTCGGAGGACCCCGCCCCAAGGCGTAAGTTTCCCCAATTTGCAATCGTTTTTCTTGCTTTAGGTCGAACGTTTTATGCTCGCAGTTGCGCGATGTTGTGTCTCAGGGGGGCTACTTTCACATGGCAGAGAAATCTCAGAACCCCCATTTTGCCCGGACGCTGCCTTTAAATGTGCCGTTTTTCATCTAAACCTTGTCATACACGTCGTTAAACTTGAAATTTCTCGATTTCCTCTGAACCATCATCGAACAAATTTTCTAAGTTGATACTAATATTATCTTCTTCCATAAACAACATTGTGGTGCTCGTAATCAAAAAGACAAAATTGATGATGCGAATTCAGCAATGTTGGCGTGTTGACTTCATACATTAGAAGCAAACATTGTGCTCTACGAAAGATCTTTGATTGAAAATGTGGACGTATACGTGACAGCATTGCTTGTATTCGAGATTGAAAGTCATAAGAAACTGCAAAGGATGTCGCATGATATAAATGTGTACAGTCCGTGTCAATGATTCATTCAGTTTTCTGCCGTCTTGAACTTGCGACTTGCGTCACGTACGTCCACGTGTGCGCGGCTGGGCACCAATACATTTACTAATAACGCGGCTTCAGTGTCTGGAACTCCTTTTGTCACAATTTTCTTCATTCCTTATATTTTCGTGCATGAACATTTACCCTATTTCCAGTGTACGAACCACATCTATTTCGAATTTTCGAGCGAGCTGCTCAGCTGCTTCACTGTTTTGAAAAGCGATCTTTACCGTACGATCTTCCAGGCAATACGCAGCACGGTATAGAGCCCTTGGTCGTAAAGTGCTTTGGATTGTATGGGGGATATTAGAAAAAATTTTTTAGCACCCTATACACCTGAGAATAGGGCTTCTGGGGATCCTACTAATAAATCATACACGTTTAATTGAGTTTCTTCACTGATTTAGTTAACATCAAGATTGTTATAGAATTCATTCGGCTAACGTTTCGGCCTAGTCACCTTCTCAGAGCCTATGAAGTTGAGAAATATTGGCAATTACCTCGCAAACATTCATCATACAATACCGGTCATAATTCGTCAAAAAAGTCGCCGGAGTGAGGCGCACTCCGCCACACTCCGCCGCACTCCGGCGCACTGCGCCGGACTCCGCCACACTCCGACGCACTCTAGCGCACTCCGCCGCAGTCCGCCACACTCCGACGCACTCCGGCGCACTGCGCCACACTCCGCCACACTCCGACGCACTCTAGCGCACTCCGCCGCAGTCCGCCACACTCCGACGCACTCCGGCGCACTGCGCCACACTCCGCCACACTCCGACGCACTCTAGCGCACTCCGCCGCAGTCCGCCACACTCCGACGCACTCCGGCGCACTGCGCCACACTCCGCCACACTCCGACGCACTCTAGCGCACTCCGCCGCAGTCCGCCACACTCCGACGCACTCCGGCGCACTGCGCCACACTCCGCCACACTCCGACGCACTCTAGCGCACTCCGCCGCAGTCCGGCGACTTTTTTGACGAATTATGAGCGGTATTGTATGTAGAGCAGTCTGTTATATCCCCCTTATTCTTCCACACTGGTATCGTTGCGCTCTTGTAACAATCGTTGGGCATCTTCTTGCATTCTACAATACCACTCACATAACTTGCAAAATTTCCGTGAATGTCGCGAAATTCCGAAAATTCCGCGAACTTTCCGGAATTTCGCGAAACTCCCGAAAGTTCGCGAAGTTTCGCGAAATTCCAGGAATTTCGCGGAATTTTCGGAATTTTGCGATATTCAGGGAAATTTTGCACATTCTGTGAGCGATATTGTACTCGACGTGCTAATAACATTTCCTACATTGTTTTGCTGCTGGTGGCACATTGTAGGATAGAATATCTGCCAAATTACACGACTTTCGAATTTGAAAGAGAATTGAGAAGGCGATTTTGTAACATCATAATCTGACGAACAATTCAAATAAAGATCTGTGCTAAGCTTGGTCCGATAGAGGTGTTCACAAAGTTTTCAACTCACAAAAATTTGCAGACAATTTCCGCAACAGGTAGGGGAAAAGTGCAGTCGAAGTTGCGATCTTGATTGGTTCAGCTACTTCTATCTTACTTTAGCTTTACTGTAAGACTCTCTAGTGCAAAAGAAATAGGATTTTCGTAAAGATCGGGACCAAGAACCACTATGAGTGAAGTTTGCGGTCAATCCGAAAACCTCAATATTTTGACCAAATTTTGCGCCGAGGCCAAGAGTGAGGAGCGATCGCGCTATATCAATGTGTATTGCTTCTAAGAAGCTGGAAAAAAATAATGTATAAGTATGAGACAGGTGTATAACGTGATTTTTGGGGGAATTACGGAGCAACTTTGGGGGAGCCAATTTTACGGCCTGAGCTTGCATGTTGGGGGCTAATAACTCTGCGAATATTACAGGTATGGGGCTGGTATTTGTTTTGCTGGACAGATCTCTGAAAATATGATTTTTAGAGAAAAGGTTGTAGAATGACAAGTTTCCAAGAAAAGTGCCTAATTGACAGTCGAAGTTGGGAAATCTGTCAATAAGGGCGATTTTGCGCGCTTATATTTCTAAGAGTTGCAGGGCTGGGGTAATCTCATACGGTTATTAACGTGTAGTTTTGGTAGCTCCATTTTTCTAGGGGTAGCTCATGCCCATAGCTTCAACGTAGGAGGCGCTATATAAAGGCGATGATGTATGTTTTGAATTTTATCTCCGTGGAGAGTGGGGATGACGGGCTGGGATAGCCGTTCTTCTATTCGTATTCGAGGGGGACACCACATATAATTCGGAGAAAATGCAGGGGCTCCGCCTGTGGGAGCCCATCTATAGACCTTCCCGGACTTAATTTTTTTTTATTTAGTTCAGGGTCTCGCAATTTCCCACTTTTCTCCCTCCTCATTTTTCCCCCTCTCTTTATTTGTGCAGCGCGTGTGATAGTTACCCGCGGCCATCTGGACCTGGTTAGGGGGCTGAAACCGGCTGGAAAGAGGTAAATAAGCTTAGAAAAACGCTATTTTTCCTTATTTTTCCTCATTTTTTCTTAATTTTTCTTATTTCTTCAATTTCGATCGTGATGTGGGGGTATAAAGTGGGCGGAGCTTGTTTGGAGGAGTTTTAGCTGTGTAAAAGCGCTGAAAGTGAGGTTATTTTTCGCTTTTTCAAATTTTTGGGAATTTTGCAACCTCCAGAATGTCGACTTTATCGATTTTTGACGATTTTTGAGGTTTTGATAGTTCTCTAACCTCAAAATATCGATTTCATCGCTGTTGAGCTGTGAACTGTAAGCCCCGCCCACTTTTGATGTTATTATACACCTAATATATGTATATTTTCTTCCACTCACTCCATATACAATACCGATCATAATTCGTCAAAAAAGTCGCCGGAGTGCGGCGCACTCCGCCACACTCCGCCGCACTTCGGCGCACTGCGCCGGACTCCGCCACACTCCGACGCACTCCGGCGCACTGCGCCACACTCCGCCACACTCCGACGCACTCTAGCGCACTCCGCCGCAGTCCGGCGACTTTTTTGACGAATTATGAGCGGTATTGTATGTAGAGCAGTCTGTTATATCCCCCTTGTTCTTCCACACTGGTATCGTTGCGCTCTTGTAACAATCGTTGGGCATCTTCTTGCATTCTACAATACCACTCACATAACTTGCAAAATTTCCGTGAATGTCGCGAAATTCCGAAAATTCCGCGAACTTTCTGGAATTTCGCGAAACTCCCGAAAGTTCGCGAAGTTTCGCGAAATTCCAGGAATTTCGCGGAGTTTTCGGAATTTTGCGATATTCAGGGAAATTTTGCACATTCTGTGAGCGGTATTGTAGAGTGTATCGGCAGGCCATAAGAGCATGACGCAAGCTGGCTACCGTTCCTCATGTGTCGGTACTTCATTCACGGATGGAGTCCTCAGCTCCCCTCGCCGATGCAGGAGAGCACTTACCACTGACGTCTGGAGCTGGGGCCCCTGATCCGCGACAGAGGGCACATATAAACTTTCTCTGTAACCAAGCCAGTTTACTATTTTTGTAGCTTTCTTGGAAGCTATCGGAGAGGGGCACCAAAAAAGCTACTCCACCGCTCTAATGCCCCGAAAACCAGTTGACACATCATCTTGGTATCGAAGTAAGAAAGTCATGGTACTGGCATTGAAATTTCTTAAAATATTCATGGACTCAAAAAATAAGCAAGGAAAGATAAAGTATCTGCAAAATCACATACCTGAAATAGCTTGCATGACACTTGAGCCACCTGCATATACCATCTTCCACTGACATGCGACAAGCTGAAAAACAGCTCATAAAAATAACTTAGAAGCAGCATCCTCAAGCATTCAATATTTGCTTTCATTTGAACCTGATTAAAGATGAGGGCGGTACCAAAATGTTATGGCCGCATACAGCATTCTTAACTATGTATAGATACAAACAACGCCATAATTTTGCCGCCAAACCACACAACCAGAGAGCAAATCGCACGTAAATTATACGAAAGGGTTAGACATGCGGTATTAAACGGCAAGTTAGCAAACATAAAAACGAAGTATTGGATTTGAAAGGGAGAGTGGTAGTTCGCGAACAACTTGCAAGATGCATAAAATCAAAAGGTGGAGCGGCAAACATTTTTTATCCGGCTAGTCCCGCATTACCGCAAAGCCGAGTAGTACCAACTCATCTAAATCACTAATCAATGGTTGTGCTCGTCTTCCTGCATGGCAACACGAGCCTGGAAATCGTTCACCTAAAAGCGTCGAAAATCTGAGTTCTATAGCATATATAAAGGGATTTCGATGCTTCATAGCGAGACGCGGAGTTCCGTCAGCAGTAATTACAGATAACGCAACAAATTTCAAATTAGGTAAAGAAATCTTCATTAATGAAAAAAATGTGTACAGTAACAGCAACATATGCTTTCAATGAATTTTCATGCAAAGAAATTCTGTGAAAATTTATAATGCCCTTATTTCCCCTGGAAAGGGGGATCTATGAAAGATTGTTGGTTAGTTAGAAGTTAGATCTAACTAACTAACTAACGAAGTTCGATGCTGGTCCACTTATTTCTATGGAAAGAGGAATTTTATGAAGGATTGATAAGTAAAATGTGCTTACGAAAAGCCATAGCAAAAACAGCTCTCTCTCAGCTCTCTTACATGATCGTACTCCTGTATGTATGAGCTATACGATTATCTGTGTGGGAGGAGCTCAGGACTTCTAGGGGCGGAGTTTGCCATTTACTCCATTCAATTTTTTCTTTATTTCTAGCCAAGGAAAAAATACGAAACTTGCATGATTACATGTTCGATATGTCAAGCACATCCTAGGTTGAATAAGGAATTTTTTAGAATTTTGGGGGCGGAGTAACGATTTTTGACAGTAAAATTCGCTTTTGACTGCTATCATATTTCAGCTCAAAACTTTACGTGGATTACGATTTGTGCAGACTATTGACAGCCAACTTGTAGAGCTTGCATTGCGCTATCGAATAATTAAACAAGCGGCATCAATTGGAGGAAAAATGCAAAAGGACGACCGTCGAAGTAAAAACGATATTTATTATGGGACAACCTAGTATAATCACACAGGCTGAGGCAGTAATAATTTCACGTCCCCTGACATACTGTGGCAGCTTCCTTGAAGACTTACTGATAGTGAGTCCTGTCGATTTTCTCATACCACAGTCAACTCACAAGGGAACAATACTTAGGGCAGCATGCGCTAACCTCGCCGCTGGGAAGGGGATCGCAGCTTAAAAGAAAGCTTTATATTTCGAAACTCCAGATACTTGGATTTCACATTGTGTATCTATCCGTAAGTATTCCTATTGCCCTTCACTATGAACATGTTGAAGAGGAGCGAGAAGCTGTACGAACCGCATTTTCCAGCTTTTGTATGATCCCTGATGATCCCCGGCGCTTTTCTTTAAAGTCATTTTTCTTTCTCCGAAGTCAACGAAAACCTTCCAAAGTTGTACTGAACATCTAACACAACGGTGCTAAGCATGTTGCTGAAAGAACAAAGAACAAATGAGTTTTTGAAAAGTCAAATTTTTTGGTAAACCCCAAATTTTGACCTGTGGATCATCGAAAATTTCATGACTTCAAAACATCATTTGTTCTTATCAGCAGCATGCTTAGCACTGTCCGGTTAGATAATCTGCACAACTTTGGAGGTTATTCGTTAACTTCGGATAAAGAAAAACTACTTGAGAGAAAAACGCCGGGGATCATCAGGGATCATACAAAAGCTGGAAAATGCGGTTCGTACAGCTTCTCGCTCCTCTTCAGCATGTTCATAGTGAAGGGTAGTAGGAATACTTACGGATAGGTACACAACGGGAAATCCAGGTATCTGGAGTTTCGAAATATAAAGCTTTCTTTTAAGCTGCGATCCCCTCCCCGCGGGGATGTTAGTGCATGCAGCCCTTAGTGTCCGTGGCCATTTGAAATAAAATGTATACCATTACACTTGTCTTCGGACGCTGATACCGAATCTGACTTCCGTTTCTACTTAACGTTTCTCTGAAAGAAGTTATGAAGGATTTTCGCGCCAAATTTGCCCTCCAGAGATATGATAGGAATACCAATACCGCCGGTAGTTGTGGTGTAGTGGCCAGTGCGTTAGCCTCACAAGCTGATGCAAGTGTAGGCTCAGATTCTTTTGTATTTTTCAGTTTTGCATTGCTCAATTAAGCTTTTTCTTAGTTAGATTTCCTCGACGTAAACTGCCCTTATTCTTTAAGAATTAAACGAGGAGTCATTTTTATACGAGTATTTCCTATATATATTCTGGTGCCTATAAAAATGAAAATGATCGGAAAATTAATGCACGTTAACATGTTACCATGTTGGTGTTCCTATCGTATGTGCCTCGCGCGGCCAAATTTGGCGCGAAAATCGTTCATAACTTCTTTCAGAGAAACGTTCAGCAGAAACGGAAATCAGATTCGGAATCAGCGTTCGAAGACGAGTGTACTGGTATACTTTCATCTCAAAAGGTCATGGACACTAAGTACCGCTTCCTTGTCAGAACATCTTAACTGCAAATACCAATGACAAAGTTAACGAAGATTACAAGTAGTACTCATTACTAAAGAAGAAGCAGTAATATTAAAGACACCATAAATTACCCTGACAAATTATGGTCCTTGTGGACTACACAATATAAGAATTGCGAAATGTCCACCAAAAGCGCATCCAACAGAAATCTTATGGTGATTGTCGAAGTAGAGAAACACGATCCCGATGTGGAGATACGAGAAGTAACGTTGCGTCATCGTAACGCGCAAAACTCACGAGATCGATAAACATGCTGGTTCCTCTAGAGTTAGAGCGAAAATTGACCGCAAATACAGAATGACGCACAAACCGGGAAATCATCTACTAATGAGGAAAGCAACATCGATGTTGACGAAATAGAAAGCAAAGACGGAAAAAAGCACACGAAAAGACCCTCATTACCTAAAAGCGAAAGACAAAGTGCACTATATACACAACACGGAAAGCAAGAAGTCAGGAAACTCATTGAAAGTCAACTGCATGCATGGATTCATGCGATATCATTATTCTGCTTGTTCTCCCACGCCAAGCAAAAGCACAAAAAACAATTAAAGTGCGGTTCATAATTATACGAACACCCAAAATTTCTTGTTTTCGGACTTTTTGGGAGAAACTCAAAAAGCCGTTGGTACCCCGCAATAGAACACAGCCGAAAACGGTATATGATTTGTAAGAATGGAAATCGATGCCAATTGCAGGAAAGTTTTTGCGCCTAATGCGAATTTTTAGCGGTTGATAATTATACGAACACCTCAAACAAAGTTCATTTTTCATTCAAGATTGCAATCATTTAAGTCCAAATTTTTTGTAGAGTTACAGTAACAAAGTCTGACATATCTGCTACACACTGGCCCAGTGCAGTTCAAAAAGAGGACCGTTACTTTTTTCAGAAGGCTCTAAATGCTTTTGGAGTGACTCCGCTCCAAAAACGTCCGTTCTTCTGTGGTTTACGCGCCTTAATTAGCTTCTACCAAAGCTATGAGATAAAATAAGCTCTTTCGAAATGTATTTTGTTAGACGCTTGGAAAATCTTTGCGTTTTCGTGCCGTTTTTCAACCAAGTTCCAACCTTACCACAGAATTAGTACTTTTTCGAGCCTCAAAACTCAGCTTCTCTCTTGCGCAAACATTTGATATGAAGCAGCTGCATTGCTTGCATGATGATGTTTCTGTGCCAAAGTTTTTGGGTTTTTTCTAGAACTGATCTTGCGGCTGTGGAGCTACAAACCAAATAAAGGTGTGATTGCAATAGTAAAAACAGTATTTCTGGTGAAATGACGTCTGCGTGACCAAAACAAACGCTCAACGCTGCTGATTTTTTCTAGCCAAATACAGGGTGTCTCAAAAAATGTATCGAACGTTTGATTGTTAATATCTCTCTTCCCAGGAAGTCTTTTGCCTTGCTTCAGGTACCGTTTTGTAGAGATGGCTTCAAGTTAGGTTTGCATTATAGAAGGAATCACCCATCTCTCTTCATTACTGTAGGATTATTGTAGAAACTTAAAACATATGATGTCAATGTGGAAAAAGCTACCGTTTCAAAATTTTCAAAAAAATGTGGATACTAGTGTATTGGGGTTTTTATGGACGCTGAGTTCAATACTCAACTAATCACAAGATTACGAAGCGTTCTAAACGGTTAATCGCACTTATTAGGAACATTGAAAAAAAGGCCGCTACCTCTTACCTGGCATAACTCTTTAATGAAGCATCATAATAAAATGGGAACTTTACAGTTATAATCAGCAACTCTAATTAGCCTAGTGTAAAAGTTTTCAAGCTGTTTTGTTTCCTTTCTGGGGCAAAAGATGGCCTCTCATTGCTTAAAACCCTCATTGAAGTTTCTAGCGTAATCCTACAGTAATGAAAAGAGATGAGTGATTCGTTCTATAGTGCAAATCTAAGTTGAAGACAGCTCTACAGATTGGTACCTGAAGCAAGGGAAAAAACTTCTTTAGAAGAGAGCTATTAACGATCAAACGTTCGGTACATTTTTTTTTGGGACACCCTGTATAAAGTCTTGTGAACTTTTACACATTATGCTTACTTCATTGTACGGTTTCAGAAGCTGAGTTTTGAGGTTCGAAATCGTGCTAACTCTGTGGTAAGGTTGAAACTTGGTTGAAAAAAGCACGAAAACGCAAAGATTTTCCAAGTGTTAAACTAAATACCTATCGAAAGAGCTTATTTTATCTCATAGCTTTGGTAGAAGCTAATTAGAGCACGTAAACCACACTCAAAGTTGCGCCGTAGAAGCGGCTCAGGCTGGTAGATACCCGAACACTAGCTATACTAATAGTTTATCCGTTACGACATGAAATAGGAATCAAGCACTACACTAAGACGATCATATGCACAACATGGATCACTGAGTTGCTGGTCGGGTAGGCATCAGCCTGTGACGGTGGAGGGGTAGCTCCGGCAGCCAGTCGGTGTCGTGGTCGCTAGCTCGATGATACGGGAATTCCGGCTTGTGCTCTCGGTGACGGCTTATATACCATACTGCGGAATGTGTGTCGTCCTCATATCTGTAACAGCTGATCTTATTTTCATAACATATTATTCCTTTATCTGTGTCTTATATCTTGTTCTCATAACATAGCTCTTTCTCGTGAGTTCCTATGCACCTACGCTTACACCACAAAAGAACGGGCGTTTTTGGAGCGGAGTCACTACAAAAGCATTTAGAGCCTTCTGAAAAAGGTAACGGTCCTCTTTTTGAACTGCACCTTGTTTAGTGCATAGCAGATATGTCAGACTTGTTATTGTAATTCTACAAAAAATTTGGACTCAAATGATTGCAATTTTGAGTGAAAAATGGACTTTGTTTGAGGTGTTCGTATAATTATGAACCTCCAAAAATTTGCATTAGGCGCAAAAACACTCCTGCAATTGACATCGATTTCCATTATTATGAATCATATACCGTTTTCGGCTATGTTCTATTGCGTGGTACCAACGGCTCTTTGAGTTTCTCCCAAAAAGTAAAAAAACCTACAAAATTTTGGGTGTTCGTATAATTATGAACCGCACTTTATTACAACACTGAAAACGGAATACATTCTCGGAGGGTTTGAAATATGAGAAGTGCGAGCAGCGCGAAAGCTACAATATGTGAACATATTGTTTAGAGGTAAACAACCCAGAAGATAACGTGATTATTCAGTGTCCGCCAGAAGTGATATTACACAGGCATAATATTTTGATCAAAACTTTGATTAGATAGAAATCAAGCATTCCAATTCACGTGTCTACCAAGCTCATTTTGCAAGCATATAAAATGCACATTGTTGTAATACTATAATTAGTAATCGCTACTGTTGGCTAAAAACCACAATAATAGTTACTGCAATATCATCTATTCATCTTTGATGACTATAACGCTGTTTCCCTTAGAGTTGTCTCTGTACGGATATTTATAAAACTGGCACCGTCATGTTACGAATTCTGCTTGCATGTTGCATTAATGGATTGAACAATACAGTAAACAAGGAAGTTATCCATTACTAGAAGTGGCTAACATTCAAGCGAAAAATGGAAGCCATCAGCCCTGATAAAAATCGCTACCATAGCGTGATATCCGTTATCATAGCAGTGAAAGCAATAGCGTGTCAGCAAACAATAGTATTTCAGACATAACATAGTGCAGCTCAGCAGACACATGCATAGAAAATATGAATCAATTCTATTTTTTCAAATAAATTAAATTGAAATAATTCTAATTTTTCTAATTTTTCAAGTCTTAATTTTATTGCTTTAATTATAAAGCAATACTCCATACCCTCTCCATACCCTCCAAGGGCATTTTCCTCGCGCTGATCACCGCGCTGATCGCAACAACCACAGCGTGCTGATGAAAGCAAGAAAGCTCATGTCAAGGCTTATTGCCGGAATATCTATGAAAACAGTCCACATTTTGCAATGCAGCCGCCTCTTAAGCTTCCATTTCTTTTAATACGGTTCTTTACGCGCATTGCACGTTTGATCCTGCGCATATCATTTGTTGCATCCGCATTTCTTATTAACTGCTCAAACACATTTTACACATCTGAACTTTCTCGTATGTTATCGCACTATGAATCGAAAGCATCGTATACACTCAAACAATCAAACAATTTCAGATATACCTGAAGAAGAAAGTAAACTGCAGAAACCTCGGTATATAACGCAAAACACAAATTGCAATGTATCAAAAAGAAGTAACGCGCAGCAAAGACTGCAAAAAACCGCAAACTGCAAAACTGCAAAAAATATTAGAACCCGATTGTTATTGGCCAAGACAAAAGCTGTCGGCTGAACAGAGTGTGGGTAAATATAGCGAACTCTATCAACTTGCCTAAAGCTTTGATATGCATTGTAAGATCGATTTCAAATGTTCAGTTCTTCACGTGCTAATAAGGACGCACAAACTCCTTGCGTCAGAATTTGTTTTTGAAAGTCCATAGACTACAAAGTAAGACCCATTATAAGCAGCCGCGGGGCCCGATGATAGAATCTCATGGCCATTGAACTTGATCATAACACAAGTACTGAAGTATGTGCCTGCCCATCGTTCAAATACCAGAATTTTTTGTCGACGGAGAATGTGCGATTGAGACCTTGGATGTCACCTGTTGTACACAAATGTCTTCAATGAAGATGCTATAGAAGCCATGTATGAGCTAGTCTCGGAACATCAATCTGCTCTCAGCATGTTTGGGTTCAGTGTTGGACAAATTATGACACTTTGAAAAAACCTGAATTTCAGCATATTTAGCTGGTCAGGAAGGTATTACAAGCAGGTACGGCCTAGCTATGGGGCAAAGATTGGCTCCCGTCATCGCAATCGCTTTTATGACAAATCAAGGAACCCGTACTTGTTCGTAAGCCCTTGCTCTTTTATATATATACATTGGCGACTGCTGCATCATATGTCGAACTCAAAGTGAAATAGACACGTACTTTGACATTCTGAAAAGCTAATTCCCTAACATAAAAATCGCGCGGGATAAACCCGACGAAAATTGGCTAGCATTCCTTAACGTCCAAGTGTTTATATCTTACGAACCATATGTATAAAGGGTTCCGCAAATGAGCTAGTGAGACTTTATTAATCACTGTCATCTGCGCAACCTTGGAGCACGAAAAGTCCGTTATAGGCAATATGATCAAGAGAGCAAAACCGGGTTCATCCAACGTTGAACAGCGCAATGC